TGGAAGCAGCAGTTTGGGGAAAAATATGTAGAAAGTAAATCCTTCTGTAATGAGAGAATCAATGGAGGCTCACAGTCATTAACAGACTCCAAATGAATTTGCAGTAGAAAAACTAAGGAATTTAATTGCATTAAAATTCACAATAGAGTAGGACCTTTCCAAAGGAGTTTGGCTTTTTATAAGATCACTGTCTCAATGTTTAAAGAAACCTCAAGTTTACCACTATGATTTTTAAACACCTCCAAACCAATCTCAAAGTTTTAATAATTTATGACATTCTTCATATGGCTTGTAACTACTGCTTTAGTCACTGCTACTTCTAATAGCATAAATTTATAAAGTATATACTACAATTTAAGAAAAGTATCCTTCAACTTAAGAAACAGATGGATTCCTTACAATTGTATATAGAAAGAGCTTCATTATGTAACAGGAAAACACACACACACACACACACACACACACACACACACACACACACACACCCGACCCAAGTGGAAGAATTTTGTAGAAAAATGAAGATTTACCTCCATGGCACTCTGAACACTGCCACATCCCCAAAATAACATCTCTCAGTTAGCTGTTACTACGATATATAGGCTAGGCATTGTGTCCACACAAGCCATGCTCCACAGGAAATACTCCATTAGCTAGACTGAAGAATTCAACCACTACAACCTATAAAGTTCATTATTTTCCCAATATACTAAAAGAATTTGCCCTATTTTAAATGGGACTCTCCTAATGTTTCCTTCAACTGAAAGGAACTAAAATGTAAAATGAGGTGTCATCTGACTTAGCAGTAACTATACACTTACTTTGTTTTGGTTCTCAGTACTATTCTGCAAACACCTTGATTTCCATACAAATTTAAAAACCACAATGCTAAGAGATAAGGAATCAAAAACAATATAAGCTAAGACAAATCAATTATTTCTATGTTACAAACTAGTCACAGAGATAGAAATTTATAAATAAAATTTTTTTAATTTTTAAAAAGATTAAAAAATCGGGGCCTCCCTGGTGGTACAAGGGGCTAAGATGCAACCTGTGAAGTTCACCGCGCCACTACAGCACAAGTTCAATCCCCAGCCAGGGAGGTGACCCACATGGCGCAGCAGACCTCTCCTAACTCACCCGCTGCTCCCCTCAGCAGTGTATTTCAGTTGATCTGCCTGTTCTGTTCCCCGCTCTGTCTCTGGTGAATCCTCTCACCCCCCAAAACTCTGGCCTGTACCCCAGTTCTTGTATGTATAAATAAATAAATCTTTTTTTTTAAAAAAAAGATAAAAACATCAAACAAGTTCTGCAGGTTATTTGTGAAGGGAATAGGATGATTAAAGAAATGAAATAGTGGTAATGAGAAAGATGATGATCCAAAAAGGCAGGGTTCTGAAGGAAAGATGAGCTCTTAGAAATATGATTAGGCAAGCAGATGGGCAGTCTGGTTCTAGTTTCAGGCTGTGCTATGCTACTACTGAAGATCTGTAAGTTTTTCTGGTAAATTCATGGTAGTGGTTAGAAAAAGAGGTATCACATGAAAATTTAAGTAAATCCAGAAACATGAATTTCTAATTTTATATGTTTTACATATAATTTTATAATATATCTCAATTATCATATACCATAAATACCCTCAATGAACTAAAAACCAACTAACAAGATTTCTAATAAATGATTAATAATAAAATCTAGGTTCTTGTCAGGAACTAGAACTGAAAATTTTCTGTTCAATCCTTTCTTAAAACTTGGCTACATGGGCCTCCCCTGGTGGCGCAGCGGTTGAGCACTGGCCTGCGAAGCTGCCCGCAGTCTCTGCCCGCCTGTTTGATCCCCAGCTGCCGGCGAGGGTCCCACATAGCACAACAGACCTCTTCTGCCATGCATGCTGCTCCCCTCAGCAGTGTATTTCGTCAGTCTGCCTGTTCTGTTCCCGGCTCTGGTGAATTCTCTCACCCTCCCGCACTTCTGACTGTACCCAGTGCTTTTATAAATAAACAAATAAATCTTAAAAAAAAATTAAAAAATAAAAACTTGGCTACAAAAACAACATGCATGGAGAGCCTTTACTATGCATGGTTATGAAAGCTATGTAATCTATTTATTCCTTTACACATCTAAATTGTATTCTTAGACCAGGCCAGATTAGACCTTATCACGCCCCTTGCTTACACTAAGCAATAGTATAATAAAAATCACAATTGTTATGCACATTGTTATGCCTGCCAGAAGAATGTTATCCAAACACTGTCTTTCATTATATACATTAGGTCTCAGTAACAGAAAAGTAATGCTTTTATTCAAAGGACATTGTAAATCCTATAAATTCCATTAGCACCCTTTGTTTTGGCCACCAGGAAGCTCAGAGCAATATTTGTAACCCCTTTCTAACAAATGAATGGACTATTTAACTTGCATTTCTAGAAGGAAATGTTATTACTCTAAATTTTTTTCCCTTCACATGATTCTCTTAACATGTATTTTTTTTTTTTCTTTTTTTTTTTGGTAAAAATCCCTCACATCCTTTATGGAATAAGATGGAATGCAAATAAAGAATCCACAACAAACAGAATTGGAAAAGTAAAATTGGAAATTTTACTTCTTTTTTTGAAAGAATAAGGTAAAGGAACAAAAAAAGATTTGCAAAAAAAAATTTTTTAAGTCCAGGCTAGCTCCACAATTTATATTCAAGCCAATATTCTAGAATGTTGACATCTGTCTGCAGCACTATAAAATAACTGAAACTCGAATGACCATTGCCACTAAACAAAACTGACTTTCAAATAAATATTTCAATTTTTTCCTAAAAAAGAAAAAGAAAGCAAGAAACAGGCTAAGAAATCATTTCTGGTATATTTAAATACAATGAACACATTTTCTAGTTTAAACTTTTAGGAACCCCAATGAAAGATAATAACTCATTACCTTACAGATGACCCAGGTGATCTAAGTAATTACAGATCTTCGCTAAGGTTTTATTCTGAGCCTCTGAAAGCATCAGTGGGCATTTCTACCCTCACAGTTTCAACATCTATGCTAGATTCCAAAATGTCTACCCCACCTCAACTGGACTGCCTTGTGAGCTCTGTTGTCTTCCTCACCCTTTGTAATCAAAGACATTTCCAAAGACCTCATTTTATCCAATTCCAAGGCTTCAGTCATCTTTGTCCCATCCTTCTCATCATCTTTGATATTTAATCATATCAGACTTAACGGTCTTTTGAAGTATTTTTCCAGGTGGTATATTTTTATTTGCGCTCGTATTTTATCAGTTCAGGCCATAATTATAAGTTGACATCTTTCCTCCCAGATTTTCCATTTCACCTTATATTCTACATATCAGTATTGTTTCTATTACTGAGTCACTTCCATCAAGTCTGTAGTAACACCTCCCTATATCATATTATATCAAAGTGACATCCCTTAATATGAACTTTCAGGTAAATTCAGGATCTGGCTCCATACTAATTAGTTCACTTTTCTCATAAACTATCTCTAAACCATCATTTCACTACATCAGGCCAAGCAGATTAATGCATCTACATGCTAAGTCACAGGGTAGCCTGCTTTCCCACATCTGGAATGTCTTCCTCTCTGTCTTACCCAAAACGTACTAATTCTTCAGGACATGATTCATATCTCATTGCAATATGAAGAATCCTATCATAATTCTTATAAATCTTGTTCTTATCTGACAAAATGTATCAGTATCAAAGTGCTAAGGAGTTGACTGCTCTCTGATTGTTTGTTATGCTCTCCAAGGTTGCCTTATCTATGCCCATGGTTTTAATTACCAGCTGTAAGCTGATGCCTAATCTTAATCTCCATATTTGTCTTTCATCACTAAGTTTCAAACTTATACTGCCTACCCGACAGTGCCTCGTGGATGTCTAATGGGTATCTCAGACTTACAGAACTCTCTAATTTTATAAGTAAAATATTAATCTTCCAGTCTTATTCATTTCATCCCCATTACCCACCCCAGCACCTTAGGCCAAAAATTCGAAGATGATTCTTGAGTCTCCTCTTACTCTCACATCCCACTTTAATCATTTGGGTAGATTTGTTGGTGCTACTCCCAAAATATAGCTTAAATATATAGCCACCTCTTATCATTATCACTATCACTCAAGTTAGAAGCATTACCTCTACCTGACCTTCTCCAGTAGTCTCCTAAATGACCTTTCTGCTTTCACCCTTAGAGTTCATTTTTCATAGAGCAGCCAAGATTATTCACTCAGTACCAAAATCAGAATATCTAACTCTCCCTCCAGTTTAAAACTCTCTAATGGTTACCTATTAAATTAGACGCAATTCAAACTCCTTATCACAGCCTACAAATTCCTACATAACCTGTCCTATTCTTAACTTTCTAAGTTCATCTTCTGCCACTCTGTTAATAATCTATATTGACTTTCTTTCCATGCCTTGATCTGTATTGAAGGTCTTCCGTGCTGGCTATTACCTCTGCTCCTCAGGCACAGCATCCTTTCCATGACTGCCTTCTTTCTCACCATTCAGATCTCTGCTCAAATGTCACCCTCTCAGCGAGGCCTGACCACTATAAAGTGACTCTCCATTCCATTGCCCAGTTTTACTCTTTATATATAATAACCAGTGATGTGTGCTATACTCTCTCATTAGAATGCAACCCTTATTAATTTCTCTGAGGACAGGTATCACATAAGCTTTTAATATTTTCCATTACAGTGTGCCCTCACCTATAAGATATCCAATAAATACCCAGTAACGAACTTATAAGGAAGACTATCTGCAATCTGCAAACCTTAAAATTTTCTAAAACCAGATATAAACACAGAATAGCTGCACAAATGATGATAAAATGATGACTATTTAGTTTAAGTTCAGAACCATGCAATTCTTGAATGGGACAAGTTTTCTTAAACTAATCAAATACTAGTTTCTACTGCAACCACTTATCTTCGTTGAAATTACAACCACTTAGCAACTGATTCTAATGGAGTAAACTGAAGTCTTACTTAATGTTATAATGTCCCGTTTTCAATGTACATCTATCAGGAAGCTGAGCAAGTTTCTTCGAGAGCATTTTAAAATATTTTCTGCACTCTTGCACGCCTGTGCCTTGATCATAGTCAGTAGAAGCAGAAAGGGGCAGTCCATCTCTGACACGAATGACTGAAGCAGATAAAATCATAGACATTTCAATCAAGAGAGAAGACCTAAAACAAAACGAACAATTTGGGTTAGACAATAATTAAAGCCAACGTTGATAAACATAGCACAAAAGTATACAATCCACTAATAATCAAACACATAATAATTACAACAATGACATACTATGCTTTCCCTATTACTTTTCAAAAATAATGCTGCTTTCTGACATTCTTACAAATGTGCATAGAAGTAAATATTGGAGTAAACATCATTCTCAAAACAATATGGTGATATTCAAAAGGTTAAAAATATTTATGCCTTTTGACATTAGTAAATTTAAATTGCAACCCAATTCTGAAGAAAGTAATCAGAAACAGACAAAAATTTAAATAAAGACATTCTTTCACAGAAATAACTGGAAACAACCTAAACATCCAGGGGATGATTAAATAAATTATAACCAAAAGGCAGATCATGATGCAGCAACTCAACACTGTATTTGTAAAAAGTAATTTAATATTGGCAAAATTCATATGTTTGGGAGGAAAAACATCAAGACAGAATCTTTAAATAATATTTTCCATAAATCTAAAGAAAAGGAAGGAGAGAGGGATAAATGGAGAAACTGATACTGAAAGGAAACATGCCAAAATAAGATTTATGCCTATTGCTAGGAACTAGCATAGTGGTTATTACAATTTTATAATTCCTTAAATTTTCATAATATCCCACAATAAGCATGTATTTTATAATCAGAACAACATTTTTATTTAAAATAAATCATAAAGTCAAAGGATATTGGTTTCAATATTGTTCATAATTTTTTGGTAGAAAATAAATTATAATGGCTGCATTTACTAGTTTATAATCATGCTTTACAAAAATAGATAAAAGAACTTCATGTTTATAGGCCTGGGTTTGGGGGAAAAAACAACAGATGCAGTTCAACTTTGACTTAAAAAAAATACAGTATTTCTCAGTTTATCTTGTGTAAGGATCATTAGAAGTTTACTTAGAAATGAAGATTTCTGGGCCTACCTCCAAAAATTCCCCATTGAGTGGGGGCCGAGAATATTTCATTTCTAACAAATCCCTCAGGTAATTGCAATGTTTATTGTCTAATGTTCACACTGAATCTAAAACACTGAATTAAAATATGCTAACAGTTTCAAATTAAATAACTTTTCTGCCAAACCACAGAGTGCACAATGTCACCAAATGCTTCTCCCTCACTAGCACTAAGGACAAAAACTGGAAATTTTGGTAACAATTTCACAGACTTTTTTCAATATATTGTATATCAGGGACTAAATTAACCCTTACCTACCAGTTTAGGTAGGTCAACATTATCTCATCCCAAAAAGGAAAAACTGAGTATGCACACACACACACACACACACACACGTATATGTGTATATCACAAAAAGTCATAAAAAAACAATTGATACCAAATTTAAATTAGATCTTAATTTTCATTGTTGTGTAAAGGTGAAATCTGACCATCCATTCATGATGGCAACTGAGATAACAAAAACTAACCCAAATAATAAATCTAATGTATTAAATTTATTCCCCACATTTCCTCTTTGCATGACGAAATGAGAGAATAGCTAGGTATCAATGTGTCATTACTGTTCAACAGTTTTCTTCTCCATTCATTTAAAAGGAAAAAATCAGGAGGAATTAAATTAGCTTTTGTCATAATGGAATTTTCAAATTAAAATGCCAACATGACATATCCAAATCTTTTTTTCTATAAAACCAGTTCCTCTTAAAATAGTAGCAAAAGAAAGTTAGGATCGGGCCTCCCTGGTGGCGCAGCGGTTGAGCGCTGGGTTGCGAAGCTGCCTGCAGCCTCTGCAGCGCCGGTTCAATCCCTGGCTGCTCCCCGGCCTCCGGAGGAGGGTCCCACATGACGCGCAGACCTCTCCTGCCGCCCGCTGCTCCCCTCAGCAGTGTACCTCGGTCCTTCTGCCTGCTCTGCTCCCCGCTCTGGCTCTGGTGAATTCTCTCACCCTCCTGCGCTTCTGACTGTACCCAGTGCTTGTATAAATAAATAAATAAAATCTTTAAAAAAAAAAAGTTAGGATCCCTCAAGGAATAATAGCTGTACTACAAAGCCCTTTTTAAAACTGTTACCATGCTTTATTTATTAAAGCACAAGGGTAACATTTAGCATAAATGTAAGGAAAATGCTTACTTCATACCCTTCAGCATTTATTATGAAACTATAAAACTTTTGTCTTTCCAGAAGTTTACTGCAACACAATGACCTCTCTGGGAATTAATAGGAGGCAGGGTTATGACTGCAGCCAAACAGCTATATTCTTAGTATTTAAAAGCATTATTTTATATCTGCTCTTTCTAGGATCCTAACAGAAGTATAGGAACAATCTTTATTATAGGGTAGCAACTTTCCTGTAATCTTCAAAATTATTCTTTTCTCTTTAATGACCTGAAGGACAGAAAGATATGATTCATTCTTTCTAAAATATATGCTAAGTGGGCCTCCCTGGTGGCTCAGCGGTTGAGCGCTGGGTTGCAAAGCTGCCTGCGGCCTCTGCGACGCCGGTTCGATCCCCGGCTGCTCCCCGGCCACCAGAGGAGGGTCCCACATGGCGTGCAGACCTCTCCTGCCGCCCGCTGCTCCCCTCAGCAGTGTACTTCGGTCCTTCTGCGTGCTCTGCTCCCCGCTCTGGCTCTGGTGAATTCTCTCACCCTCCCGCGCTTCTGACTGTACCCAGTGCATGTATAAACAAAACAAATAAATAAATAAAACATGCCTCTATTAAAAAAAATAAATAAATAAAATATATGCTAAGAATACCAATCTGTGAGTTCCATTCACTTAAATTTATTATGTTCTATGTCAAACATAATGGATTACATACATTTGGAATACATACTTCTCACCATCAAGAAGCATCAGTCCAGAATTAAAGAAATTCAAATGAAAAGAGCAAGCACAATGAAAGCTGTGTTGCTCACCGCATAACTAACTGGGAAACCATAATTAGACAAACTTGCATTTCAGATATTACTAATATACACCTTTCAGCTTCTAACTAAAAGCACATCATACCAGTGATACGCCCTGTTTCAAATTCTTATAAGGTTGTCAGAGAACTGTTTGAGATTTATCTAATGAGATAAAATTAAATCCTCTTTTCAGAGTGATTTAATCTAGTTTGTGAACTAATGGAAGAAACCCAGGTGACAGTTCAATAAACAACACTAGGCTTGACTAATTTATAGGCAGATTTCCATCACCTTAGGATAAGCAATCTCTCTTCAATCAACTCAATAAATATACCTCCACCCTTTTTTCATTCTACCTGGGATTCTTTTTTTTTTTTTTTTGGTAGGCCCCTCGCTGGTGCCCGGGGAATGAACCGGCGCTGCAGAGGCTGCGGGCAGCCTTGCAGCCCAGCACTCAACCGCTGTGCCACCAGGGGAGGCCCTTACCTGGGATTCTTAATACAGTCCCTTAAATGTTATCTGTACTGTGCTAGTACAAAAGGTATCTTTCACCTCAATGCCAAGTTAGGATTAAAGTACCTTAGAATGTAGGAAGTGGAGGAAGCAATGGAAACTGCGAAGAGGTTACAAAACTGCATGGAAAATTTTAGGAGAAGCAGTGGTTTTATCAAGGCCATAGGTATGCTTTTTAGACTACTGGTTCATTTTTCCTTTTCTTTAACATTGAAAAAACATGACATAAGACTTTAGTCAGCATCTCATAGGGAATCTGATTACTTGCCTATATATCCTTTCCCCAAAACAACTGCTGGAGGAAAAAGCCTAAATAAAAATTTAGGCAGGTCTGGGTAAATATTTATGTACAGGCTGTTATGTACAGGCTGAGGAAAATAAACTCTTTAAATGACAAACAACTACAGCAATGATTAGCACCATTTAGACACAATATAATGAGAGGCTAACCTCCCTTCTTCAGAACTTTGTGGAATAATGACTGTGGGCACAAGGTACCAGGGAAGAAATATCTCAAAAAGCAAAGAAAATTGAATGTATAAGTAAATTTTAGATATACTTTCCATCAAGATGCTTTCACATTTTAAGATAAAATGCATTTTAATTATTTTCCAAATGCCAGTCTTATCCAAGTACCATTTTCAGAGTTCTTACCACATCTGCATTCTACCTGTCCTATTATTACTTAATATAGGTCTCTCGATTGATTTTTTTTTTTTTAACCTATCCTTACCAACAGTATGGTGAAATTAGTTTTGAGATATTATGTTTTTCTCCTAATTTATATTAAAATAAATTTCTTTTTGTTTCCTTCAAATGTGTATGCACAAAATTTTTTAATGCTCATCTGCTTATTCAGGTTATCTTGCATATCTGATAACAAAATTTGGGAGCCACTATCTTGGTACATTATTTTATTAAAATGCTAAGATCTGTGGGAATTGGGGATGGGAGTTATATGGGGAAGAAAACCATACTAATTATGAGACACAAGGTGGTGACAAAATTGAGTGAAAAAGGAAGGATTTTTCCACATCATGATTAGCAGTAAGGTACTCGGGAGACAAAATTTAAAGGGGAAAGAATAATAAGGGTAACCAGGATTTATTTCGTAGCCTTGCCTGTGCCCTTTACCCCATCAGCAGCCTTTACTACTCCTATTATAGGTGTTTGCACTGCACAGTATACATAAGACCTCAAGGTCCAAAGGAGATCATACCCATATCCAGGCACAGGCCCTTCAACATATGCACAAATGTGTCATTCCCCAACATTTGTGAAGAACCTAGCTTAAAAATAGTGAGGTTAAGTATAATCTCTTTTCACCGGTGAGGAACTGAGGCTTTCTCAATGTCACATTGCCAGTATGGCAGAATTGATACTGAAACCTAAATTTGTTACAACTCTAAGTCACTATAATACATTAGCCTCTTACAGCCAATGAGGGGTAAAAACCCAGTGATAAACTAAGTTACTCACTTTGAAATAATAATAAAATACTAGCTTACGTTTTCGTTAAGAGGCAGTTCAGTACAGTAGTTAACAGGATGGACTCTGGAACCAGTCTGCCTGAGCACCAATTCTGGCTCCACCTTGTATCAGCTGTGTAACCTTGAGCAAATTTTGCCTTTCTATACTCAATTTCCTCACCTGTAAATTGTTTCCACTAATAGTATCTATCTCAAAGGGCTATTTTAAAGATTCTAATAGTACGCATCTCATAGGAACAGGTAGACACAAACAATGCCTCACAGACTAAAAGTGCAACATTAAATGCTATTGAGTGCTCTCTATAGACTAGGCACTTTACACACATTCCCTCAATTAAATCTTACAATAACCTGTGAGGTAGGTATTTTCATTCCATTTTACCTTTGATGAAATTCAAGCTCAGAGGGGTTAAGTAATTTATTCAATCTTATTATTTTACTAACCTTGAGGTCACTAATTCAACCCTCTATTTGATCTATTTTGCTTACATAGAATTCTGCAGAGTTTTTTAAATTTTTACTTTAATTTTGGGGCTTATATTTTTGCTCTTCCATATGTGCATATGTTCCACTCACCTTCAATCAAATTTTTTCAAGCCGGTCAGCGACAGAGTAGGAATTTAAGCTCTCGGCTACCCTGTGAAACATTACCTCTCAAAACAACGAAGGTTCTTACTTAACTATATGGAAAGGAATGTCACAGGAACCAAGAAGTCTGAGTGTCGTTCATACACCAATATAAAATTCACTCAGATTTTAAAAAATGAATCATACACCAGAAAAGCACTAAACTGACGTCACAGTTCTCAATATAGGAAATGCCTAGATAACAGATTCTAATACTGAACTAAAAGCTTCATACACCAGAAAATATAGGTATCGCGTTAAATACTGCCTAATTCCTTCTTATCTCAGCACCTGAGCAAATGCCTGTAAGGGGACTGTGATTCAGAGTTTTTAAAAGTGGCTAATCCACCAGTGTGAAACACTATAACTCAGGGTTTTGGCTTGGCTGAATACGCACAGGAGGGGCTGGTTTTCAAGCTCTCCAACTGCTGCCTATGAAACTAAACAGCAAGAGAAAAGTCGAAAGCTGGCTTCATTGGCAAAAAGATTCAAATCGTCTGGGGCCCGGCCTCCTACTTTGGAGCCCTCTTCCACCTGTCGTGCCAATCGCTCGGGTCCCTGAATGCCATAACGATCCCAAAGTGCCACTAACTGGGCCTCGTGAGGGTTCCAAGTCTACGCAGGCAAATCTCAATGGTCATTCAATTCCCACAAAGCACAGAGTAAGTCACTAGTTCCAATCCCACACTGCTACAAGAAATAGGAAACGCCACCTCAAGTTTTCAGGACCACCGAAGCAGCCCAGGTGGATCTCGGTGTTACTGACACCTGGGCGCCAAGAAATGCCCACTAACTCCGGCAGCCCACAGCCACCGTCGAGCTTCTTGCTCTGGGTGTCCAGCAGTCAAGGCAGGGTAGCAGACGGGGCAACCGCCGCCCGCGCGGCCCCACGGACCCCCTCAAGTGGGAAGGGAAAAGGTCCCCTCAAACCCGCCCCATCAGAGCTCCGCGGCTCCCCCCCCCCCACCGCACAGGCTTGGTTCCCGCCGACTAGGAGTCTGTAGTAATGATGGCGAGGGCCGAGGCCGTGGCCGGAGGTGAGGAGAGCCAAGGGAGCGGCGGGGCAGGGCTCCAGAGACCCCACGAAGGGAGGAATGAGGATTGAGACGGGCCGAGAAGTACCTGTCGAGTCGGGACTCGCCGCTCCGAGTGACGCGGCCGCGCAAGGCATTGTGGGGCCAGGGAATGCTCTTTCCGCGGAGCTGCCCCACGTCCTACGTGGCTGGCGCACAGCTGAGTCAAGCCCCGCCCAGTTCCCCTCGGCTCGCCCAGGCCAATCAGGTTCCGGGGAAACACGCAGACCCGCCCCTTCCCAGGACCTGAGTTAGTCCCGCCCCCTTCAGGATAGATTGTAGGTTCTCGCGCACCTGCGCCGAGCTATTGGAAAATATCTGGTGACAGCCATGCTGTCGCTCAGAAATAAGGCTCCTTTCTCCCTCCTGCCGCTTGTATCTGGAGGCAGTTTGTCTCTCACAAGCTTCCCTACAGCAAACATATCCAGGGGAGGGAAGCGAGGAAGCTTCTGTGAGTGAGCAGGTGAAGGACCTGTCCCATCTACCTCCACACATAAGGTAACTTTGCCCCAGAAGTGGTAGATGGTGGCCCTGTGGCCCCTTCCAGCCTTGGCATTGCTTGCAAAGTATTGTTAAACACTCGCTGACTGTCTTCGATGTGCCAAACACCGTGTTAGGCATTGGGTTATAGGAGTGAACATAACAATAGGTGGAATCCAAGGTGTAATAGAAGGAAGAAATGTTAAAGCATATATCATTACAAATCGTGATCATACTATGAAGGAAAATTAGTGCTTGGGATTATGGATTAATTCTGAGACTCTCAGGGATGAATACTTTGAAGAAGTGTCATTTAGGCTCCAGTCACATGAAAAAGCCTTAATGATTGTTCCAGGCATGAAAAAATTTGGCGTGTTCTAGGAACTGAAAGGGTCTCGGTATGATGGAGTGTAAGCTTGGATTGAGATGAAGCAGGGGCCATTCCCTGCAGGCTCTTATTAGTTGAATTATAGATTTTAGACTGTATTTTGGAATGCATCCTAAGGTCAGTGGGCAGTAGTAGAGAGCAGTAAGTAAGAGGTGATTTACATATGTAAGGCTCACTCAGACTATTTGGAGGGAATAGTTTGGAAATGGAAGGCCAGTTTTACAGCACTTCCATTAGTTAAGGCCAGAGATAATGGTGACTTGAACTAGGGTAATGGCCTTAGAGACAGATCATTTCAAGACATAAAATTGGAAGGTGGACTCAAAGGAACTTAATATCAGATTTATTTGCCAGGAAGGGTAAAGAAAAGAGGAGCATTAAAGATGACTCCTTAAGTAACTAGATAGATTAATAAACCATTTACTGAATCAGGGAATATGGAAGGAAGAGAAAATGTTTTTTGATATGTTAAATTTAAGATATTTAAAAATTATGTCAAACAAATATGGATACATAAGTCTGAAGTTTAGAAAAAGTTCTGGACTAATTACATAAATTTGGAGATGATTGTAGTTAACCTAGCAATTTCATTCATAGATATATATATATATAGATAGATATATATATATCTCTGCAACAGAAATGTAATCATATGTTTACCAAAAGACATAAAGAATGTTCAGAGAATGAATAAATTTTAGAATATTCACAAAGTGGAGTAGTATGTAAGAAAGAGAATGAATGATCTACAAATGCATACAAAACATGGGTGAATGATAAAACAGTAAAAGAAGATAGACACAAAATTGAGTCCATTTATATATTGTTCAAAAATAGACAAAATAATATATGCTAATAGAAACCAGGATATCAGTTACCCTTAGATAGCATTAACATTTAGAAGAGGGTACTAGGGAGCTGGAGTTCTAATAATATTCTTCTTTCAAAAAAAATTATTGAGGTAATATTGTTTTATAATATAATATAGGTTTCAGGTATACAGGTATACAGCATTATAAATCACTGTATGTACTATATTATGTTCACCCCTAGTAGTCTAGTTTCCATCCTTCACATATGATTGACCACTGTTGACACATTTACCCACCTCCACTCCCCCTTCCCTTTTGGTAACCACTATTTGTCTGTCTAGAAGTTTGTTTGTTCATTAGTTTTGTTTCTTTATCTTCCACACACAAGTACAATTATTCAGTGTTGTCTTTCTCCACCTGATTTATTTTACTTAGGATAATACCCTCTAGATTAGTTCATATTGTTGCAAATGGCATCTCCTATTATTTATATAGCTCCTATTATTTATATATTTATATAGTATTCCATAGTGTGTGTATACCACATCTTTATCCAATAATCCATCGATGGGTATTTAGGTTATTTCCAACTCTTGGTTCTTGTGAACTGTAATGAATATGGGGTGCATATATCCTTTTGAATTAGTGTTTCTCTATTCTTTGGGTAAATGCCCAAAGAAGAGGTATGACTGGATCATATGGAATTTCTATTTTTAATTTCTTGAGTAATCTCCATACTATTTTTCATAATGCCTGTACCAGTATACTTTGCCATCAACAGTGTGAGGGCTCCTTTACCTCCTTATCCTCTCCAATACTTGTTTTTTGCTTTTTGGTTAATAGCCATTCTCTCAGGTGTGAGGTGATAACTCATTGTTTTGACTTGCACTTCCCTAAGAGATGATGAACATTTTTTTCATGTGCACACTGACCATATATTTATGTCCTCTTTGGAGAAGTGTCTATTCAGGTACTCTATTTTTAATTGGATTGTTTGTTTATTTTTGTTGTTGAGTTGTATGAGTTATTTATAAATTGTGGATGTTAGCCCCTTGTCAGATTCATGATATGAAATTATCTGCTCCCTTCAGTAGAATGCCTTTTTGTTTTAAATAGAGTCTGGAAACATTCACATTCTGGCCAATAGTGCAATCTTATTAAACACTTGGGCAATTGGTAGAGAGACCTCAGAAAGCCCAACCTTTAGGTAAAGCTAAATTAACCAAAAAGTAAAGGTGATTCTGAACCTACTCAAACAAGCTGAAAAGGGTGCTCTGCAAGTAAATTAACTACTTGTTTGAAAGAAGTAGATTTTAAAGAAAGGCAATAAAATCCAGGCACTAAAATATGTAACCCCATATTTTTTCACTATCCAATTAGAAAATACTATGAAGAATGTAGAAAATATGAACCACAGCAGGAGAAAAATCAGCTAATAAAAACAGAACCATTGGGCCTCCCTGGTGGCACAGGGGTTAAAGACTCAGTGCTATCAAGCTATCACTAGCCACTGCTGCATGAGGTCAATCCCCTGCCGGGGAGATGGCCCACATGGTGCAGCAGACCTCTCCTGTCTCACCCACTGCTCCCCTCAGCAGTGTATTTCAGTAGATCTGCCTGTTCTGCTCCCCACTCTGTCTCTGGTGAATCCTCTTACACCCCACACCTCTGCCTACACCCCTTTCTTGTATGCATAAATAAAAATAAATCTTTAAAAAAATAAAATGAAAAATAAAACCAGACCCATAAATGACAAAGATGATGAAATTAACATGTAAGCACTTTAAAGCAGCTATTATAAATACAGTAGAAAACATAAAAGAAACAAATATGAGAGATATGGAAACAATAAAAAAAACTATTTTTAAAAACCATATTGATTTTCTAGAGTAGAAAATAGTGTCTGAAGTGAAAATTTCATTGGATGGACTTTAAAACACTTTAGATACTGCAAAGCAGAGTTTCCATGAATGAGGAAGTAGTGCAAAAGAAGTATCTACATCAAAGCATGGAGAGAAAAAAATTGTTAAAAAGAATGTTGTTGATCTGTGGGGCAATATCAAATTATCTGATTCATGTATTGTTAGAGACCCAGAGAAAAGTGAGGAGATAAAATATGTATATATTTGAAGAAATAATGGCCAGTTTTTCTCTAAAATTAATGAAAAGCATAAACCACAGGTACAACAAAGTGAACAAATTCTAAAAAGCATAAATACAAAGAAAGGCGCACCAGGGCACATTATACTCAAACTGCTTTAAACCAATAATTAAAAGTAAGTATTAGAAGCAACCAGAAAAAAAGAGTCCACTTTTTATGTAGAGAGGAAAGACAAAGAATACCACAAACTTCACATCAAAAATAATACAATCCAAAAGATAAAGGAATAAAATCTTTGCAGTCCTAAAAGAAAAAGCTCTACTAATTTAGAATTTATATCCAGTAAAAATCTTTCATAAAATAAAGGTGAAATAAAGGCATTTTCTGCCAAAGGATAAGAGATTATTCTGCTAGCATACCTGAATTATAAAAAATGCTGAGAGTGCTTCAAAATTGAAAATTTGAATTTGCACAAAAGGAGCACCATAAATGATGACTGTGTAATTTATATATAAAGATATTTCTTCTTTTAAAATTTTCTCTAACGGGCATCCCTGGTGGTGCAAGGGGTTAAGACACAGCACTATGAAGCAATCCACAGCTACTTCAGATGAGTTCTGTCCCCTGACAGGGAGGTGACCTACATGGCACAGCAGACCTCTCCTGACTCGCCCGCTGCTCCCCTCAGCAGTGTGCTTTGATCAATCTGCCTGTTCTGTTCCCCACTCTGTCTCTGGTGAATCCTCTCACCCCCATACCTCTGGCCTATATCCCGGTTCTTGTATGCATAAATAAAATAAATCTTAAAAAAAATAAAGAGTAATATTTTGTTATGATACAGGAGTTAATTCACAAAAAGCCATAATATAAACAGATATGCATATAGTAATAGAGTTTCAAAGTCCACAACTATAGTTCGAGATTTCAACACTTTTCGTTAAGAACGTGATAAACAGAAAATCAATACGGCTATAGAAGACATGAATTAACAACCAGCTTGATACAACTGACATTTATAGAACATCCTGCAAACAATAGCAGAATACACGCTGTTTTTAAGTGCATATTCAATATTCACCAAGATAGAGCAAAATCTGAGCCATAAAAATAACTCCTTAAAAATATTGCCAAGCAAAAGAAATTAGACACTTAAAAGTACATTCTGTATTTTCCATTTAAATGAAGTTCTAAACAAGTAAATTTAATCTGCAGTGAAAAGAAAGTCATAAAATTTGTTACTTCTAGTGGTTAGGTTGATTAGAAAGAGGTATGAGGAACTTTTTGGGGTACTGATAATATTTTTTATTTTTATTGGGATTTGGGTTGCACAAGTGTGTGCATTTTTCAGAACTCTTTAA